AGATAAGATAAGATAAGATAAGATAAGATAAGATAAGATAAGGCTTTATTGATCCCATAGTGGGGAAATTTGAACATTACAACAGCTCAAAACATTGGAGTTGCAGTAACAGGCTCCCTGCTGTGGTGCCATCCTGGAAACAGAAAACCACACAAGAATGAATGAATGAATGAATGAATGAATGCATGAATGAATGAATGAATGAATGAATGAATGAATGAATGAATGAATGAATGAATGAATGAATGAATGAACAATATGGATAGTTTTGAAGAGCAGTTGTCTGAGGCAGCCAGAAAGTACATCTATCTACTTTATGACTCTTCCACACATTTAGAAGGATAGTCAAATGGCCCAAAACTCATGAATAAAGAGAGCACATATATTGTGCACAGAAGAATCTGTCTGCTGGAAAGTGTGGTGCTCAATCTGTGACAGATTTGTGGTCAAATGATGGATATTGATTGTTTGGCTTCACATCAGGTGTGCTAGGCCCTTTAGTCTGGACAGAGTCTTGATTTAGTACAACTTAGTTTTGAGTTTTCGTACCAGAGACAATAAAAAAAAATGCTGATTTTGTTTTAGAATGAAAAACACTGTGAAATGAATGTGACATTTTTTAGTCTTTGGCTAAGTTAAGAATGGTCATGGAAGAAGAGAACAAAGAGYTGGTTTTGTTCATACCTGAGGACCAGAAGATCCTAGAGCAAGACGTATGTAGGTCAGTTCTACTAGAAGTTCAGAGTAGTGGATTGCATGATAATTAAGTCATTTAGTTACTTTGAAAAAAGTACTGAAAAATTTCCTCCTTAAATTTTTTGTCATGTCATCCTTGTAAGATTGTAAAAACTGGTTTTAACAAACAACCTCTGAACATCATCATTTGTACTTTCAGCACATTCAATGTTCCTTCTTGAAAGAAAAAAGTTTCTCTTAATTAAAATCTCATAACTGATTAAAAATTAACCTTTACACACAAGTGGTCACTTCTTTTTAGTTCGAGCTATGTAAATAGACTATAGCTTGCTAAAAATGTGGCGATTTCCAAAAGGATCAGTAAATACCAGATCTGGTGACAAGCTGGCATGGTAAGAGGTTCGCCAACTGGATGTGGGTCAGGTCTGGTGATGATGGCACTGTTTCTAAGATGGCATGCCACAAATGGCGCAGTTGTGGTTTGGTTTATGTGGTGCTGGCCCATGCATGGACCATTTCTGGCAAACCATGTCTGGCCACCAAAGGACCATTATTCTCTGTGGTATCTGGGTCTAGTGTTAGTGCATTGTGTGGGCCAGAACTGGGACAAACAAATTTTTTCTATGTGGGATGTATTTGAAGATGTGTGTTCCAAACAGATCTAAACATTTGTATATTTTTTATTACCACAAATCCCTAAAAAATAGATTTTTTTTAAAAGATTGCATCACTGTAAATATTCTCTTCTAGCAAACTAGAGCACACAGAAAAGGAACAACCAAAGACAGTCCTTTGATTTACCCCCCCCCCCACCCCCCGACTGCATTAATCCCCAGCATGACTTTGATCAAAAAAGAAAGCTGAATAAATCCTAAAAGAGTTGAAACACCAGTCCAAGGTAAGTCTCAGCTCTCTGTTAGGCTGTTTTTATGCTTCTCTCAAATAGCTGAGACTAATGGCTGCCCAGGGCTAGATGATGGGGATTCAGTCAAAAAACAATGGTGTTCTTTGGAAAAGGTCAGCACTAAAAAACACGTAATGACTAATTAATGGACTGCAAAATACTGTAGGTACATAGGTCTACGATTGGGTAAACTATGATTTACTAAAAGTTATGCTTTAATACAGTACATCTGAGTACCACTTCCTTTTTATTCTAAAAAATTAGAAAAATATTTGACAAATCAATGGATTTGTCATTTATCAGTGTCAATGTAATGTTACACTAAAATTTAGGTATTTTTATTAGATAAATCCCCATTATTTTTATTGATACAACCAAGACATTGGATTACATTTAATAAACTTTTGTGTAACATTTATTTACAAGCTATTGCATTTATGTAATGATGATAAGGATGTTTGAGACATAAATAAAATGAGATGTGGCAGAAAAAGACCAAAATAACTGGCAAGATATAGTAAGTTTTAATGTAACTTGATCCAGATAAAACTAAAGTTGCAAAAACAGAAATGAACAAACAATTACTTTAAGCATGAAAAAAAAAAAACACATGTAATGTATTTTGAGGCAAAAGAGTTTTAGGTAGTTATTTTTAAGGAGGTAGGTTTTAACCACCCACTTCGAATGTTGTCAGTCCATTAAATTGACGTTATTAGCAGTTATCAGTCYGATAGAATGTGTCCAAACGGTTCCTCCTCTACCTTCTAGGAGGTTGGAAGACACTTGCCAATTCTTTGTACAGTGGTTTGCAAAAGTATTCATACCCCTTGAACTTTTCCATATTTTGTCACATTACAACCACAAACATAAATATATTTCACTGGAATTTAATG